CGTCAGCCGTCCTCTGAGGGAAGTAAGTCACATTTACACGTGTGAAAACAAAGAAATCACCCATAAATAGGGTTGAATAATGTGGTAACACTAATGATCATGATAAATACTGCAGATGTGTTGTATTAGTTGGGTTTTATTATATGATTTTATTCCAAATACTGTTGGAAAACTAGTAATTCAGTTTCTTATTGCAATAATCTGCTGTTATTTTGTGTGATATGAGTTTTTACGTGTAGCTTCACATGAAATCTTGTAAATGTTAAAAACAAAACAAGCTCTGTCCACCTCTGAAATGAAAGGATTTATCTTTGTGACGTTTACATGGTATCTAGTATAACAGCCATCCATCCATTGTCTTCCTCTTATGTGGGTTGAAGCCACAGAGGCAGCAGACAAAGCAGGTCATGTCAGACGTCCTTCTCCCTGGTAACACTTTCTGAGGCATTCCCAGGCCAGATGAGCGATTTAATCCCCACTCCTGTCTGCTGCCTGGCATGTGTTTTCGTAGATGCTGTATACTATAGCATTGTATAGTATTTCTGAATCTTAAGCTTGATCTTCTTGTTTTCCTCCAGATTGAAGACGACGCTAGCAAACTCCATTACTCTGAGGATTTAGCCAAAGTTGCTGCCTCCTATCTGAACAGCGCCCCCTGTGGTCTTGTAGATAACGTCCTCTACTCCCCTCTTCAGATAGATGTGACGTCCGCCAACAACACCAGAGATGTTTCACTTCCTCTGTACTCTACTGTTGCTTCAAATCCGTAGTGTCTTAATATTTTATGACGCCTTCATGTCATAACTGTGCAGCTGGAACTGTTGCTAATCACTTTAGCTTCTATTTAAAAGAAAAAAGAAAAAATTTAGAAATATTTTTTCTGTTCTATTAATATTTACAGGCAATCATTTTGTGGACATTATTAATATTTTAGGGCATTTAAAATATTTTAGTATAATTTAATATTTTGAATATGTAGAATTTTTATTTTTATTTAACTTTCAATAGTATTTTTCCAACATTTGATTTTTTTAGAAATGGTATTTTTTGCATATTTTAAGTTATATTTTTTAAACATGCTCAGAAAGTCGAAGGGTCAACGTCTCAAATCATTACTGTAGTAACTGGATTTAATTTTGAATATGCGCCCTGTCTTTAAGATCTCAGGACCATCGTGATGTAAATTGTCGATGAGTGGACGCTGTTTGCTCATTAAGCTAAATATTAAGATGCTAACCTGCAGTGACGTTACGTTAGCAAACGGTCGTACTCTGGCTAATATTCAAACATGAACATAAACACGTTCTCTGAGCTGCTGTGTTGTTATTTATGTGGTAATGTGCTGTAAAAACTGCAAAAGTATTTAAATGTCATCATTTACTCACCAGTGAGCTGAAAGCTGTTTTATTCTTCACCTGTAATAAACCTCCTTCACTCGACACTGTTTGATGAACAATAACACAACAAACTGCAGTTTTTCACATATTTTTAATGAAAATAAACTTGACATTGAGTTGAACATTGGCAGCTTTAACAGTATATGGTCTTTATGTTTTACAAAATAGTTTTCAGATACATGTCGATGTTTCCCTCCAACATCGCACCGAAACTCGACGTAGTTTCTGAGACGCTGCAGCAGGTTGATGCGATCGAAGGTCAACGTCAGGGTACAAAAAATATTCGCTCTCGTTGCGACGCAACACGTCCTTGACCTTTTTCTTTTTTTTTATTAAACTGTACTCGATCACTTAATGCGTCGGATATAAAAGTGGCAACAAGAACAACGACATAAATAACATTTCCACAGATTTCCGTTGCGACGCTTCGACTCGTCCATGAAAACACAAACACAATACAAAACCCCAATTAACTTAAAGAATAACTTAAAATGTAAAAACGAGAAACGGAAGACAAACACGGTAAATAAAATTCCCTTTTCAGCGTTACAGTGCTTAAAGAAGAATAAAACAATAATTGATATAAAACGATAAACTAAGTACGACTGGTGAACGTGAGGCTTAAATACGAGTGAGAACAAACGCTGGCACGTTGCAGGTAAACACACGGAGGACGACGGTCAGCTGACACAATAAAAGCTGCATAGAATCACAAATCTCTAATGTAGAGAAGATGACTTTGGAAGCTCGTGTGTTTCTGCTCTGCAGCAGAGTCGTGCGTTCGCTGCGTTATGTTGATCGGCTCAAACACGCGACTCTGCTCCGAAGCATTTCAGTGCAAATAGAGCGAGGATTCGTCGCCGCCGCCGCCGGAGCAGGAAAGAGAGAAAAACTGAATCTGAACATAAAGTTCTGCGCAGACCTCGAATTGACTTTAAAGGGTGTTTTATATCCGTAGCTTCTGTGTGATTGAAAAGAAACGGCGACTTTTAAACTGAGATTTGAGTAATTTTTCAGTGAACATCGATTTTTTTCAGGATTAAAATAGTTTCGGCTTGATATGAAAAATGATAAACAGATGTTCACACAAGCTGCAGCATGTAGAGACTGCGTTGGCTTGAAATGCTGCAGGATCCCAACACCGATGGAACCCTCTGAACCTCACGGTCTGAAAGTCGCGTTGTCTTTAAAACAAACAGGTTAAAAATTAAAACTCTTATTGAAGTCACAAACTGTGAAAACAGGAGCGACCGTCGTGTTTTTTAACTTTCCGACGGTCCTTGAAACGCTCGCCTGAGACCCGCCGCTCTGCTGGAAAACTGAATCTGAGTGAAACATTTTGGTATTTTATCAAAATCGCTTCTTGTTTCATAAAAATTTGCAAAAAAAAAGAACCAGATTCTGCTCCTCTGCACAACCGTGGAGCTTCTATACACGACCCAGAGAGTCCGAATACAAATTCATTTGGGCTCAGCGAGGATGAAGTGCAGGCTGTGAGGAGAGCGTCTAGCGTATGTCGTCACCGTTTCTTTTCAGTGTTGTTAACACATGGTCCACACGTAGCAGGTGTCTCACAAAACAAAGATATGTTTCTACGACTCGTCCTGTCGTCCACATGAAGACGCAGATTTACGGCATCAAAAACGATTCTTTCAAAAACCAAAGTGAAGATCTGAGAATCCTCCGTTTATGCGTCTGCATGTGGACGTCAATATGCAGCGTTTCAGGTTTCCAAACGTCACTGCCTACAACAAAACATGTTCTTTACATCACATATGCGACCTGTGTTTACATCGGAAACAGCGTGGACGCCCTCAGAACCGGGTTGTCTCTGGTCCAGGTCCAGATAGCGCTCCACATACAAGAACACAGGCGAAGGACGGAGTTAAGGACGGTTATTTTCCACCACCTCGCCGTTCCACGTCCGAGGCGTGTTCTCGGTTAGGTGTGGATGAATTCTTTTCTAAAAACCAGGTGGCGTGTACGTTAGTTTTTTTCTAGACGGAGGACATTCGGTTTGACGAACATCCTGCTACGTGTGGACGAGGCCTGATTCAGCTTCTGGCATCACAACGTCTGTATTGAAATGAAAAATGAGGCAACAGTGAGTTAAAAGAAACGCTCAGAAACTGCTGCTCGGAGTTCAGAGGGTTGACAGGAAGTGGTTCTTTCTTCCTTTTTTTAATGCTGACAGGATTTTTGTGCAGAAACAGATAACTCCATTTTTGTAGATGTTCAGAGAACTTATTTGTTGTTTGCTGGAGATGACATCAATCAGCCTGAAGCTGAGAGGATCTGACTCAGCAGAAATGACAGAAACAGAGATAACTGAAGTCTGACTGATGTCGTCTCAGGTAGACGATGGACCGGTGGGTTTCCTGAAGGTTATTGGAGATGGAGTCATCTGTTTCTACAAATGAACTCTTCACTAATTTTTCCTTTGGACCCACTTTGACGGTTTCACAGTCTCTGCACACGAACCTTCACGGATAAACACCCAGAGTTGTCCTTTGAACAAAAGCTACACTAACGTCTGAAGCTGGCTTAATGTTGGTGCAGCGACTGAAACCAGATCAAAGTTGAGGTCGTGTCTCTCCTGCTCCGACGTTCAGCCGCCGACGAACCTCGACTGCAAAACGCAAACGACTCAACGCACGAGAGAAAATAACATCCGTGGAAGAACGCCGCCGCGAACCGTCACGATGAAGAATCTGTTTGAACGATCCTGCAGGTCGGATACCGGACGGCGAACGGACTCTTCACCCGGACGATTATCAGCGACAAACAAGTTTCAGTGACTCGGCCAGTTTTCAGTACACAATATTACATTTACAAGGTACTTCACACGTAGAAAAATATTACCCTTAGTGATAAAATAAAGATTCAGGATTGTGAAGCTAAAAGGCAAAAAGTGCAAAAAAACAACCGAGGCTCTGCGGGAAGCAGCTGTTTTATCCTCCGACGTGGTGGGAAAAGGAACCGCGAAGGAGAAACGGCCACAAACGTCCCGTCAGACGCCTCGGTCGGGTTAAATGTTCGTCCCTTTATGATACAGTGAAAACACAATAAATAAATGTTCCTCGAAGGTAGCTGAGAAACAGAACGGTTTCTGGTTGCCGAGTTCCTTCAGACAGAAGGAGGAAGTCTGCAGCCACAGTGAGTTCCTTAAAACGTCTTTATCGAGTCCACTTTAACAAAGTCTTGCGTTCTGTCCAGAAATACCAGTCAGTCTTCACGGGCCGCTCGTACCGCGACAGGTCGCTTTAACGGGTTTGGCTTCTCCATGTCCGATCACTACCATCAGGTTAGCACTACGACAGGATCTCAGCCTTCTCGTATCTGTGGAGTCCCAACATGCTGCCGTTTTCCTGACAATACCCACTTTAGGTACATTAAACAATCCGATGTTTAGGTTTGACAACTGAAAAACTAAAAAACAGCTTCCCAACTGTTCTTTAATGTTCTCTAGGTGGAACCTTGTAGTAAAGCTCCCGTCTAAATGTAGTGTTAGAGGGTAGAACCCTGCATTCTCTGTCAGCAGCTGTACCGTAGACCAGCTGCAGTACCTGGTTGTTCCACCAGGTGGAGCCTCTTAGAGACCAGAGGAGGCGTCACTCAGACTACAGCTCATGCTGGCAGCAGAGAGCATTGTGTGACCTCCCACCTGTTGTTTTTTTAGACTAGCTGGGATCAACTGGACCAGAACCACCTTCGCAGTCCAGTGTTGGTTGATTGATTAAGGATGCTGCATAATATTGCTTTAAGAAGTTAGCATCTCTAGCGTCCCGCCACAAACCGTGCGACAACAAAGAGTCTGGTTTAGGTTCTGCCCTGATCCGGATACTTCAGATCAAATCTAGACGCCTCTAATTATCTTTAGGGATCGTTAATCTTGTGGCGCCAACAACCGACTGATCGACTAATCGATGGTTTGGACTCTAGCGTTAATAAAACATCTAATGCTGATATTTAACATGTTTTTAGTGGTTATTCTTCGTCTTAATTCCACCTTAAATTTGAATCAAACCTTCTGTTCTGTGTTTTAGTTAATGCAGAATTCAACAGACCAGTAAACTGGGAATAGACTCGATATTTAAACATTTAAACCACACTGTCCTGTCCTCACTTTAACAGTAGACTGAAGTCTTCCACACTACTGACCTGGGAGCAGATGGATTTAGAGCATAACACTGGTCTTATACTGTCTTCCAGCTTTCTGGGACAGATGTGGGAAGATCAGAGCTGCACTTTGGAACATCTTTAAAGACGCTTAATTTTACATCAAGAAACCAAACCAGCTGTAAAATAAAAGTCATCTTCCACCTAAAAGAAGCTCCTGCTGACATCGGTGTTGGGTTCATCTGCTTTATTGCAGAAGGAAACTGAGCCCAGAGCTGAAATCTAAACACAAAGACGAAGCTGCTGGTTTGAATCACGATATTCGAGGAGAAGATTCTAAACACCGACGACCAGCTTCACTGAAAGGCACTTAAACATCCAAACTCCTCCGGTGGGGCGCGAAGCTGACCGACGCTCAGGAAACTAAACTAAACGTGGAAACAGGTCGACGTCCAGGCCGATCGTTCAGAAAGTTCAGATAAATGAAGCCCAGAGCTGCTAGAACCCACACTCCCCTCGTTTCCGACACTTTTTATCGCCTTGAATCGTCCGACAGAAACACGACGACGGCAGCATCCGTCCTAGGAAGTGCAGTGAAATGATTGTCGAGTGCTTGTGATTGCTGTCAGGCGTCTGGAGGAGTTAAAGCTGGTTTAAAGGACGACTACACAACAACTACACAACTCGTAAAGCAACAGTCAGGTGTTGGTCTTCACACTGAAGCAGGTTTTGTTCGCTTGAATCCTTCCTGTTTCCTGCGTCTTTGTTTTGTGCAGGATTCCGTCTGAACTTTACTTTGTTTTCGTGTAAAACTCCGAATGAGAGCGGATCCGTTGAGCTGCATTTGATTTAACGACACCTGACCGGTTTAAAAAGCGGATCTGAAGCTGTGACGTTGTCCTTTAAACCAGAACAAAATAAAAACTGTCCATATGTCAATAAACTACGTCGCTGCTTCACTGTTTTTAGACGAAACAGCTTCGCAAAAAGCTACAAAAATGATCAACAAGTTCTAACGGAAGAATTAATGAGTTTTAAAATGGTCGTGTCGCGCTGCTGAAATGTCGTATATATTTAAATATAAAAATAGAAAGTGAGCATCCTTTGGGTGAGGCGTGATGACGGGCCGTGATGACGTCAACCTCCGTGATGAACCCGTCAGTGCTGCTGCTGGACTCAGCGCTTCATCACTTCCTGTCCGGAGGCCGCTGGGCCAGGCACGGCGGTCCGACCACCGCCACAGTGAGTCCCAGACGATGACGTCCGTCCGTCGCTCTACAGCTGCTGCTGCTGCACCAGCCGTCTGTAATGGGGCATCACCTTGCTCTCGGGCAGGTACAGCGCCATCTCCAGGGCCACCAGGATGGTGAACTCGAACGATATCAGCTCCCTCCGGCTGATCCGGAAACGCTCCTCCAGCTTCTGCAGGGACAGAAACCACAAGCGCTGCTGGATGATGACGCTAGATTCAGAAGGTCTGGAGTCTACATGGTAAAGGAAGGGAGGGAGGGAAGGAAGGGAGGAAGCAAGGAAGGAAAGAAGGAAGGGAGGGAGGGAGGAAAGGAGGAAGGTAAGAAAGAAGGGAGGGAGGGAGGGAGGAAAGGAAGGGAGGAAGCAAGGAAGGAAAGAAGGAAGGGAGGGAGGGAGGAAAGG